CATGTCAGCAGTGCCACGTCAGCAGTGCCACGTCAGCAGTGCCACGTCAGCAGTGCCACGTCAGCAGTGCCACGTCAGCAGTGCCACATCAGCAGCAGTGCCACGTCAGCAGTGCCCCGCCACCATGACGGGCGCAGCTCTGGGCATGCCAGGCCAACTGGCCAACGAGTCTATTGCCGACTAGAAACAGTGGTTCCAGACTCAGCTCGCATTGATCGAGGCTGAGGAACAGCGCCAGCTGGCAGCCGAGGCTGCCCGCCTACAGGCTGAAGCAGCGGCAACAGCTGAGAAGCAGCAGCTACAGGCCAAAGCAGACGCAGATACCCAGGCACGCCGCAAGGAAGCCCAGGATCTACTGCAGCGGCATGAAGCCGCCAGCATCGAAAGACTCAAGTTCTGGCACTTTCAACCATCCAACGGCGACGACGCGACACCGGAGGAGCAGCACAAGGAGTTCCTCTCCAAGCTCGTGACATGGTTGTTATACGCTTGCAACTATCAACAGTCCGAGTTAGAGAGACAGAACCAGGAACTGCAGCAACAGTACCAGGATCTGCAGAAACAGCACCAGGAGTTGGCGAACCTCCGCCAGACAGTGCAGAGCCACGAGGATGCTACACGGGCACTCAATTCCCGTGTACTGGACCTGGAGCAAGCTGTACCAGGACCAAATGCTGGTGTGTCCAGCAGTGCACCCTCTAACCGCCAACTGGAGAAACGCGTCGACCATGCCGTCGCAATGCTCGGCGACATCAGCACCTTCGCTGAGCCGACTACCATCAGCAATCAGTTGGATACCTTGAAGACCGAGGTCCAGCAACTGCAGCTGCCTAACAAGAATGGCAACAGCACACAGCATTACAAGATGCCAACTTTTCAAATTGAGAAGTTCGATGACTACACGCATCAGGACCCGGTCCTCTGGTGGGAAGGATTCACGACACAACTTCTGCAAGTCGGATTCTGCAATTCGCCAAGCACGCGTACGTCGGCGCCCTGTTTCTTAACTCAAAGGGCGGATGCCAGATCTGGTTAAGCCACCTGGCATCCACCCACGGCGTCGATGTCGCAAATCTGAAAGACAAGATCTCATGGGAAGAGTTCACACGGCTATGGAAGAAGCGGTTCATCGTGGACGACGCACCTGCACTCGCCATCAACCGTCTCTACACCATGACGCAAGGCAACACAACAACACGTGACTGGCTCACGGAATGGCAGAAGATCGCGGCAACACCCGATCTGGACTTACCATTTCCGCATTTGCGCCGCGAGTTCTATAACAGGTCATGTGCTGCATTGAGCCTCGCACTTGGTGATCGCGAGCAATATGCAACCTTCGCTGTCAATGATCACCAATATGCAACCTTCGCTGAAATCATTGACAAGGCGAGGGAAATCATCAAGACCAACAGGGCGGCTGCACACGAGAAGTCAACGTGGCAGCCAACCTATGTGGAGAAGGTGAGAACTGGTCCGCGACCGCAGCAGTTCGCTGCAGTCCAAACGGACAACAATGTGGAAGACCCGGCAGCCACCCAAGTGTCACGTGAGGGAGATCAGGTGGCTGCTGTCCAGCCACGAAGCAACAACAAGCCAAGAGTGAACGGGAAGGCGAAAACCACATCGCCGGCCGGAAACGGACAGCCAGCACCATGGGTCAAGTTTACCTTGACCGAGGCCGAGTACAAGTACCGCAGCCGCTACGGCTGCTGCTATTGGTGCAACAGCACCAAGCACAAGACCTCCCAATGCCCTGATCAAGCCAAGTAGGATGTTCGGCCTCGTATTAACTCGGGAAACTGAGTCGCGCAGGAGGTGAGGCGACTCCACCTCTCACTCCACCAGATTCGGCCGCCTTGCTAGCGGCCTCCCACACATTTGGGGAGGATGCGCATGTCGCAAGTCCTCGGTACACTTACGAGAACTATGTTGTCCACTTGGTCCCACCGCTGGACCAACCGCTCCACGTGCAACAATCTACCGCATGCACGGTTTCATCACCATCGGCAACCGATTCGGCAGCTTCACCGCCATCTACCGCCGAGGATTCAACGTCATGGTCAAGACTTGAAGAGCTCGACCCGTTGACATTTGCGGACTTCCAATGGATGCCCCTTCCCCGGTCCGGTCGATTGCTGAAACCGCATTGCAACGTGCTCATGGCACAATTGCGGGATTACTTGCAAACTGTAGTACC